TCAATTAATTCTTCCCCATCAATTTCATCATCATTTTTTTATTTGAAAATGATAGTCTAATAAATAAACCTATATTAAATAAGCAATATTGTTATATTTCAGTATCTGGACATCGGTGAAGACATGAATGTGCCCGATGACTTCACACAAAGCGAACTGCAAACCGGGAAGTGGTGGCGCCATCTGCTGGCCGGGGGCATCGCCGGCGCCGTTAGCAGGACGTGCACGGCGCCTTTAGATAGACTCAAAGTATTCCTACAGGTAAACATTTTATTTTAGTTCATTTACTTTTGTTAAAGTATATCGTAATGTTTTTGTTAATATTATGCTTATAAAATATATTTTTTCTTAAATCTTTTTTATAACGTTTCAGGTGAATCCGACAAGAGAAAATATGGCCCGATGTTTAGCAAAAATGATAAGCGAAGGTGGCGTTAGTGGTTTATGGCGCGGTAATGGTATAAATGTGATTAAGATAGCCCCAGAATCCGCTTTAAAGTTCGCCGCGTACGAGCAAGTGAAGCGTTTAATAAAGGGGGACAAGAAGAACCATCCGTTAGCAATACACGAGCGATTCGTCGCTGGCGCAACCGCCGGTGCGATCAGTCAAACTGTGATCTACCCATTAGAGGTGCTAAAGACAAGATTAGCTTTAAGAAAAACTGGACAGTATAGCGGCATATTAGATGCGGCGAAAAAAATTTATGCCAGAGAAGGCCTCAAGTGCTTCTACAAAGGTTACATTCCAAATATATTGGGGATCGTACCGTACGCTGGCATCGACCTGGCGGTGTACGAGACTTTAAAAAAGAAGTATATAAGCAAGTACCAGGCGCATAATGGTCAGCCCGGCATGTTGCTGTTGCTTGCCTGCGGCAGCACCTCCTGCACGCTCGGGCAGGTCTGCTCCTACCCCTTGGCTCTTGTACGAACCAGATTGCAGGCACAAGGTAATTTTTCTTGATGTACCTATGTTTCTATGTCGTATTAACACACAAATATCTGGCTCCAATCTGATGTTTTTAACACGAAAAAGTGAGTCAAATTTTCTTTTTTCGTAGAGATTTGTATCTTATATAAGACTACAATCGTTTGCTATAAAAATATTAACTAGGTGTTTTATTGCAGAGAAAGCAGCAAAAGGAGCCGAGGGCACGATGCGGGGCGTGTTCCGCGACATCGTTCAGCGTGAGGGGGTGGTGGGCCTGTACCGCGGGATCACGCCCAACTTCATCAAAGTGATTCCCGCTGTCTCCATCTCGTACGTCGTGTACGAATACGCGAGCCGCTCTCTCGGCGTCAACATGACGTGATCCCCTGCGCCTGCGCGCCCCGCACGCCTCCGCCACCTCGTTACATTCTATTTTAAGCATATTAGCAAATTTTTGCATTTGATTGTAAATAGCTCTCCAGTATGTTAAGTTTATTATTTATTATGATTTGAAACATGTGAATGGTAAGCCTCCAGCTCGAGACGCTATCACTGGATGGAAAATGTATTGTCAATTCGTGAAATGGTTGCATTTGTTGTATGTTTATAACTGTGGTCTCGTCCGTGTACGTCGCGGGCCCCCGCCACCCGCCCCCTACGTCTGTGATTGCATGAGGTGTGAATTTTTTTTTTAATTTATTTTATTTTGATTTGCTCTTAATTTCGTTGACTGTTGACAACAATAAAACACTAGTTCGATAATATAACGGTTGTACGCAATTTTACAAGATTAAATGGGAAATAGATTTTAGTAATTTACCATAATAATATTATGATGTTCCAAGACAATATCGTATTTACATTATTTCTACCGTTCTATACACAATTATAGAATTGTTAGAAGTTTATGTGCAAATGTTTAAAAATATAATCATGTTATTGAGTAATCAACTCAAGTAACAAAATTTAAAGACAATTTTAGAAGAAGTTACACAGATATCTGTGATGCGTAGTATTAAAGAGTTACGTGAAGAGAGATTATTTAACTAAAGCTATGAGCGAATTTACAACAGACAATGATAAACTATTTGTATACACCGATACGTAAATAGTCTATTTTTTAAACGCGAACTCGCAACGGCCATTAAAAGCAAATAAAATATTTATATTTTTTTTATATAATGTGACATGTTGTTGTAGTGTTAATTTTAGTTACAAATTAAATTGGAATATTGTTATTTTGCAATTATTTACATAACATAGTCTTCTCGTAATCTTTGTCTTGGGATCATTAAAAAATATATATTTATCAATATTTTGTGTTCAGTTTTACTTCGGTCACAAATAATCTCAATAGTTACTAGTTCTAGCTTTCGATGTAGTCTATTATATTTATACTGTATAATTTGCTATCTGATACTATATTTCCAAAATTGTTTTATTATTTATCTTCTATCTTTATATAAAATAAACTAATATTTAACTTAATATTATGTAAATATATTTCCTACAATTTAAATTATCATGAAACTTCTGTGCGGTCATTTTAATCATTAGAATGTTATAAAAACAGCAATAATAATGTAATATTTATAATTATTGTATTACAAATTAAATTCAGTATCACAACTGATGAATAATGAAAGTATTTGGAATAAGATATATTTATAAATTGCTACTTTAAAGTAATTATGCCTATATTTATCTAAAGCATTCATGGTGTAAACGAATGTAGCTATTTTAAAACATGTAATTGTTAGTGGTTTATAAAAAAACCCTAAGTTGGCTCGAAATTGAAACCTACTAAAGTAATTGGTATATTTTGGGAGTAATGGAATTGTTCGTTGTGTTTATCAAATACATTTAGATTGCTAGACCTGTTTTATGTGTGTTGTATTGTGCATATGATATTTTTGATGTCACCACAAAGTGGGAGTATGGTAACATGTAAAGCGTAAGGGATTTTTTAGATACAGGTTTATAAGGATATTTTAGTAGGCATATTTAGCTAGATTATATTAAAAGTTATTTATGTGAGAATGCCTTATAGCAGGCGACAACGCTTACGTCGCTAGATGCTTGAATGTTTCCATAACTCTTTGAAATTCTCAAATAAGTACTACAAGCAATAATAATGTTTCACAACTTTTGACCATAGACTTACAATTGATAAATTTTCAATCTTTAATAATACATTTCTGATTATAAGGCATATGCCGATTTGTCCACTTGTTAATTAATCAATTTTGCCTTATAATAAAATAAGTATTTTAGGAAGAAAATTTTCAACGTTTTGACGCATGCAAAGTCGACTCACCGACTTATGATGATATGTAATGTTCTTGAGGTTAGTCGATTGATCAATATTTTTATTCGTAAATAATAATAAATAACATTTAATTCGTGTTACAATTTTAATGCGTCTAGAATATACTAGCCTTATCAATTTGCTGCAATAAAATTACTAAATTATATTATACCTAATTGTTAACATAGCATATTGGCTGGGTTTTGTGTACAATTATTTTGTTGAATTGTGTGTTATCAATTATGTATTAAAATATTAACGGTTGAACACGTCCGTTATTAAATTATTCCTTTTTATTTTAACTTTTATTGTTTATTTTTAATCTACACAATAGACATCAGATAATATAGATCGACAAGGATATCTGGCTCATTGTGCGGAATAAGGTGAAATAAATTATGATAGCTCACTAGCAGTCTCGTTTTAATGTCATTTTTTTAATGACGTTTTCGATGTCCATATTGGTTTCATATATTTTCTTCTATTACAAACCGCGATAGCAATGCCTCTTTAACTTACCAGATATTCTTGTTTGACTATATATATCTTCATTCAAAAGCAGTAAAACAACGCATTATAGTCAACGGTCAAACCATTTGTTTAAAATGAGATCTGAGGGTTCATTTTAAACCCTCTTAATAGGAGGGTAATATGGTTTCCCATAAAGCCAAGACTTTGACCGAAAGAATGATGTGGCATTGAAATGATTATTGCCGGAGTTTCAGTTCGTCGAATTTGAAGTCTTTTATAACCGTTGTCTCTTTGAGGTAATATTAACTTTACAATAAGGGATTGGACTTATTGAAATTGTGGCATAAATAGTGGCTCAAAAATACCATAAATCATACATGAAGTTTACACACTCTGGAACTAATGCTGTCTTCTTTTTAGGTATTCAAAGAACTAACCAAAGAAAAAATTACAGCTGCGGTTGTAAATTTACTATGTTTAAGAAAAATCTCACATCTATATATAATAATAAAATTGGAGTGTCTGTATCGAAAAAAAGAATTATAATTAGAAATACACTAAACTGATATAAAAACAGCTAAACACTTATGTATATTCGTCCGGTGGCGGCACCGACTAGTTTTGAGCCCATCGGGGGCCCTTCATCAGGATGATTTTCATTTTTTTTATATCAGTTTAGTATATTTTACACATTTATTTTCTCATTTGAGTATGCTCTGAAAACGAAATGACTAATAGTGATCGTTATACTCAAGTAAGAAAATGACAACATGCGATCACTATTAATTACGCTATTAAAATTATAATAAACAATTAGGTTTTGTTTTCTTGAATCATCTCAAACTGTTTGTGGTTTGTGACCTAAAGGTCTATGTTACCAGGTCATAAAATTAAAAAAAGAAGTTTGTGGTTTGCCTTTTTTACAAGGAAGAATTTGTGAACGAAAATGTCACCTTGACAGCGTCATGTTTGACCAATGAAGGGGCAGCAGCTGCCCGGCGAATGTTGCTACTATACATTTTCGAAATTCCACAAAAAATCATTAGTAAAGTAATTCGTTTTGTTTACTTATGGGTGGATGTTTCGATTCAAATAGAAAGCAATTGTTATGGATACTGCATTTTACTATGCATAATTGCTATTCTTTTTATACATTTCTTGCATTTCCAAGAAACATGTCAATTTTTTTATATGGTCACACTGGTTCTTTTTAAACCAATTACAAGAAAATAATTCCAGAAACGTCATCGCTGATTGGTGAGTTTCGCTTTGGCAAATGACCTGTCAGTTTCAAACCCGCTGTCATCAGACGCAGGACGTGAGAAGAAGGCTATCCGCAATCCACATTCGTTTGGACTTCCCTTTTAGAAAATAGCACGTGTCGGCGCTGTCAACTTGCCTATTATCACATTAAAATTGAATAGGTATGTAACTATCTTTGTTACTATGCTGCTTTTATGAATATTAAGAAAGCTGTAATTATATCGAAATGAAGAAAGAAATACAACAGAAATTAGTCTTTCGTTCTGTAGTTTTAATAATGTCTGGGGAATCATTTCAATACTCATGGCGTTTATAACCGTGAATTTATTTGTGATTTTTTTTGCTTTAACGTATATTAATTTGATTTATATTGTTGCAGCCGAGAGATATAACAGCACAATGCCGTCTGATGCAAAGAAACGTGCACAACAAAAGAAAAAAGAGCAGGCTAGTAACCGAAACAAAAAACCCGTGGCAAGAGTGACGGCTGACGAGAATGGAACCACGACAAATGGCTCTGTCGATCGTGAATTGACTGCTGAAGGTACTTTTATTTTTATTTACGTATTGCTTTCTCAATACTTTTTGTTCGGAATTTTGAAATACAATCCCAAATGAAGTTTGAGAGTTTAAAAACTTTTAAAAATAACAGCTATAAATTAATAATTTAATATAGTTAATCATATCGGAGCCAAAAAAATTTAAAATATGTTCTTTGAAGTAATTTCAGCTATTGCAAAATATGTTTTCATAGTCCTTTATTTATTCAGCTAAAATATAAAATAGCACATGGTAATGTCCAAAAATTTGTGAAGTAACCAAAAGTCAACAGTAATATATCTGTTAAATGATAAGATATAACATGGTAGTAATAATGTTTTTTTAGTAATATATATTTTTTATTTTAGAGGCATTATGTTTGAAGTTAGAAGCCGAAGCCAAAATGAACTCGGAGGCTCGTTCATGTACCGGAAGCCTTGCAGTGCACCCACGCTCCAGGGATGTCAAGATTGCAAATTTCTCGATCACATTTTATGGCCATGAACTTCTGCAAGATACACTGTTGGAGCTGAATTGCGGACGAAGATATGGTCTTGTTGGGCTTAATGGTTGTGGTAAGTAAATTTATTTTACCTCTATAGTGAGAGGGTTAAATCTATTACATGCATGCATAATAGTTATAGTGTGGATGTATTGTAGCGTATTATGTTGTGTTTTTTATATAATAGAAGCAAGCAATAAAAAAACTAATTTTCCAACAAACCATAAGCATTCTACTCATTGTTATCTAAATGTGTTGAAAGAAAACAAAAGGAGATAGGAATAACAGATGAAAACATAGTACTGATAGTAAATGTAGATAGAGGTTTTAATAGTTCAACTATACATATGCATAGCTAATTACATAAGAAACATAAGGATTATTTTATCAACTGTACTACTTGCTAATAAGCTTTTAATTGGCGGATGTAGACCAAGGAGTGTCAAATGTTAAGTTATATTTGTAATAATACATCAAATAATATTTATACATAAGAAGCGCAGTGCTTAATTGCGAATATTCTAACATATTAAATAATTGAACTTGACCACTAATATTGTCTATTGCATTAATTTTTGTGAAGCAATGGAGGCGTAATTTAAATTTTTATTTTGATAAATAACCAATTAAACTGAAAGATGTTCTTAAAATATTCTAATATTCCGCTCAAATTCCTTTTTTGCTTCTATAAGACCCTTTTGTCAAAAACAAACGAAATTATTACATTTAACACATGCAACCAAATAGATTCATTAGAGTAATGTATTCATCATCATCAGCTCAATATGCATCCCCACTGAGGGGCTAGGAGCATACCCTAAGTTTGAGGTGTCAATTCTCAACCATACTGGTCCAGTGCTTGATGTTTTCCTTCACCTTATAATGTAGCATTTTGGTTAGTTAAATATTATAGATATTTATTCAAGCCTAATAATAATTGTAGCGTAATGTATCATTGAAGCGCCTTATATGTAATTGTATGATTATAGTTAATTAATCAACTATTGAAAAATATAAGTCTGAAGAAAGCACTGTTGATAAATTGTAATGATTCTCATCCTAACTCTGGAGTTTTCCAGTATTAGTTCAATTGGTCTTCTACTTCAGTCTTATATTTTCTATTGCAGTATTTAAGCGAATTATTATTTTAGTGTTTGAGAAGTTATTAACTTATGATATAATTTTAAATTGTTTTATTTGGCCTTGTAGAATGTGCCATTGAAGCATTTCTAACATTGTAGCGTATATATTATGTATTTTTGTAGCATGACAAGTCTTTTCGAAACTATCATTCATCATTAAAAAGTAATTTGTCATTAAAACTTACGCTATTGAACCGTAATTTAACCTCTATGAGTAAAAGATTACTGGCGCGGCATTAAAATCAATAATTTTATTACATTTTATTATTAAGTTGATGTCACTGGCGATGTCTTCCTCGCGAAATTAAAAAAAAACTCAGGCCTATGCGGTATTCCATACTTTAATTCATCATGGTTTCAAATTTTACTCAAATGGTAACAAACATCCATACATCCATTCAAACTTTCGTTAAATTCATGATGTGATACAGTATTTCTCCTATTCTTTTTCATTAAATATTCTGCCCAGATCCTATCTCTACTATTGAGATTTGCTTTATTGTGTTACTACCTAGAATGATCTGTGTTACTATGTTCTGCCATATTATTATTTATCATATTCTTCAGTCAATGTTCGTTAGATAGAAACCATCTTATTTCCAATTCAATTTTCCATTGAGTCTGGTCTATTTCCCTTTAAAATTACAATTGACGTCAACTTGGTTATTTTCCATTTTGCAGGGGGGTCTGAAATGCTCACTTTAAATATCAATGTAATCAATTTATTCTTTTACTTACAAATGATTGACAAAGTGTGGCTAAAAAATAGTTTTCATAGTCAGTTTTTAAATTAGATTTTCAAATGGGTTTGAATGTTTCCCCCAGATGTGTTATATGATTTCTTTTTTATCAAATAAATGAATAAGAATTGAGAATAGAAATTTAAATATATAAAATTACAGATATGATTGTGTTTTTCGTAACTTGATTTTTTAGAAATAATCTCTTGATTCTTTACGGCTTTGTGTAATTGCTACTTACATATTAGGCAAGTTGTACTATGTTTGTATATTACAAATGTCTGGTATGTCCATCATGGTCAAATGATATTTTTTTCAGGCAAATCATCGCTACTCTCGGTTCTCGGACGTCGCGAAGTGCCAATACCTGACCATATTGATATTTTCCATCTGACAAGAGAAATGCCAGCTTCTGATAAAACTGCTCTGGAATGTGTTATGGAGGTGGATGAGGAAAGAATAAAACTCGAGAAATTAGCCGAAGAATTGGCACACTGCGAAGATGATGGTTAGTTATGTACTAATTAATTTAAATTTATAAACTTAAATAACGGGCGGCACAGGAGCGGGCATTGTGGCAATCGACGGGGGAGGCCTACGTCCAGCAGTGGATGAATTTAGGCTGATTATGATGATGAAACTAAATATAGTAATATTTTAGTGTCATCGTTGTACATTAATTCTTACTTTATTGCTCATATGTTCAGAATCGCAAGAGCAGCTGATGGATATCTACGACAGGCTGGAAGACCTGAGCGCTGACACGGCTGAAGCTCGTGCTGCTAACATTTTGCATGGTCTCGGCTTCACTAAAGAAATGCAACAGAAAGCAACTAAGGATTTCTCTGGAGGTATGTGTTAATTTAATGAATATTTCTCTCTATCAATCATTGCTTTTGTATTTACTGAATTAGTCTCTAATCAGCTTTGTTTTAATGATCTTGAGTTCATTTGTAATTGAAGATTATGGCTTTTCTCAAATCCTGGCAATAAATGTGCAAAATTTCATAATCAGTTGTTTGAGTAAGGTGTTAAGGAATAACAAACAAACTTACGGAATTGTTAGAGTGGTTAATGTAAATATTTTATAATCAATATTGAGAGTACGAGTGTAATTGTACAAACATATGAAAACAGCCAGCTATACTAAATGTAAACACATACAGATGTGTGAATACAATCAAGTACCAATTGAAAACAAAACTGTTAATAGACGTTAAGTATTTGTGTACACAAACGCGTGTGTAGTTTGCACACATCACAATATCTACATTTGTGACTTTGATGCCCTTTAGAAATAAAACAGATTACGCTTTTAATATTAATTTATTGGTAATTTCTTAAAACCGTATGTTTATTAGAAGGTTCCGGAGATACCTTCTAATAAACATCCATCTTTTTTTGCACTTGTAATATTAGTATGATTACATACAATAAAACTAGTGTTATTTAATAAGAAAATATTTTTCTAACAGGATGGCGCATGCGCATTGCATTGGCTCGTGCTTTATATGTGAAACCGCATTTACTTCTGTTGGACGAGCCAACCAACCATCTTGATTTGGATGCCTGCGTCTGGCTTGAAGAAGAACTTAAATCGTAAGTAATTTATTAAAAAAAAAATACAAAGAGGAATTTTTGATTATAAACTTTACGATTTAGAGAAATCAAATAATGGATCACTAAAGTAAATTGCTTTTGTTTCAGATATAAACGTATTCTGGTGCTAATTTCTCACTCCCAGGACTTTTTGAATGGTGTCTGTACCAATATCATTCACATGAATAAGCGTCGTCTTAAGTATTATACTGGTAACTACGAAGCTTTTGTGCGAACGCGTTTGGAGTTGCTTGAGAACCAGATGAAGCAGTACAACTGGGAGCAAGACCAGATAGCTCACATGAAGGTTGGTTACTTGAGACATTTATGTATAAATCTAACCGGTTTCCATTGCCAAGATACAAGCGCAGAAACATATTGATAACCCTCTCATTTTCATTTAAATTATACAGATAGAAACATGTTAAACAATGGCCATATTTGACCATATCTTACTAATAACGTAAATGCGCAAATTCAGATGGATGGATGGTTGTTAGAAGGTGTCTCCGGAACAGTTTAACAGATCTTAATGAAATTTGGCAGAAATGTAGCCTATGTATTCTTTCAGACTATGTTCTACGTCTGTTCCAAATTTCATCAAAATGCAAGTTCAGAAGATACTTTCTAACTTACATCCATTTGTCCATCTAAACTTTCGCATGTATAATAATAATAATAATAATATTTTTAAATCGTTTCATAGAATTATATTAGCCGTTTCGGTCACGGATCAGCGAAGCTCGCTCGTCAAGCTCAGTCTAAGGAGAAGACTCTGGCTAAGATGGTAGCCCAAGGTCTCACTGAGAAGGTAGTGGACGACAAAATACTGAACTTTTATTTCCCGTCTTGTGGGAAGGTACCACCGCCAGTTATTATGGTGCAGGTAATATACAAATTATTATGTTTAAACTATATCTATAGTTATAGCGTTTTATATGTAGTGCTTTAGTTCTTATGGATAGGCAATAGCCTAATTGTAGAGTGAAGATAATGTTTTTGGCCGACAGACTACTAACAGAGTATCCTACTGTTAAAGTCTTAAGTTATTTGATTGGTTATTCCCCGGAAAGTCATTATATGTTTAGTTGGGTTGACTGGTTTATATGATTTTTTTTCTGTTTATAGAATGTGTCATTCAGATATACCGATAGTGGACCTTGGATCTACAAGAACTTGGAGTTTGGTATTGATTTAGATACAAGGATTGCTCTTGTCGGCCCTAACGGTGCCGGTAAGTCCACTCTGTTGAAACTACTCTATGGAGATGTGAGTATTTTATTAAACTTGACTTGCCCTCCGTTCACAAATAAAAACAAGCTTACAATAGGGTTTCCATTGTCAAAACAAACATTACTAATGAGAGACGTACAGTCACCCCTCCATTTTCTTAGAAAAAAAATAACAGGAAACAAATTGTTTTTGTTGCATTGGCGTAAATAAGTAGACATTTTAATCCAAAATGGATTTCCATCTATTGGTAAAAACTATAAATGCACATAATCCAGAGGGGCAGACAGTTACCATGGACCTCCATTTGACATAGTCCTGATGCATATTTCTAGCTTCTTCCACATTCTATTTATACATGCACTTAATGACTACTATCTAGATTTTTATCACAAGGTGGCAAGCAGCCTCCTGAATTCGCCATAATAGCAAAGCTATTGATGCTTATACATTCGCAATTCATTTCTGACAAGACATTCATTCAATCAATTGAAGAGGGATCTAGATTGTAATTAAGCAGTATTAGTAAATTAATTAACCCTTTGTTTTTGACAGTTGGTGCCAAGTACAGGTATGATACGTAAGAATTCTCATTTACGTATTGGACGTTATCATCAACATTTACATGAACTGTTGGACCTTGATTTATCTCCATTGGATTATATGATGAAGCAGTTCCCTGAAGTGAGGGAACGTGAGGAAATGAGGAAGATCATCGGAAGATATGGTCTCACTGGACGTCAGCAGGTATGTATTAATAATCTTCATTGTATGTACTTATGTTATGTAAATTTAAATCCTTCTTGTATCACTTTTATGATTTATACCACCTTTATACTAGTGAAAAAATGTGTTATAGCGCATAGCAGACAAACAGACATTGATTTTTATTTACATAGATACATTTTACACGTTTATATCTGTGACCCATAGTCAAATAATGCTATCTGAACCGGTCGGAGACTGATAATGCGTTGATTTTGTCGTATAAAATTTATTTCGACAGAAAATGACAAAAGTAGAATCTAGCACATGGCAATTACAATTACAATACAAGAGGGTTTATTGACATTTTTTGATGTTGACAAGAGGGCGCTAGTGGGTTGACATATTTTACTTTGACTTATTCGCACCAGTTCATATAGGTCTTTACCTCTGAATTGTTTTTACAGATATGTCCAATGCGTCAGTTATCCGACGGACAACGTTGTCGTGTCGTTTTCGCGTGGCTCGCGTGGCAGACTCCCCATCTCCTGTTACTCGACGAGCCGACCAATCATCTTGATATGGAGACTATTGATGCCCTCGCTGAGGCCATTAATGACTTTGATGGTGGCATGGTACTTGTTAGTCACGACTTCAGGCTCATTAATCAGGTAATTGAGATTTAGATTCAACAGAACCCGTAACACCGAGAAGTGGGCAGAGAGTATCTTAATTCAATAGAATGTACCAGGAAATAGTTGAATTATGTCTTGCCAGTCTTAAAAATAGAGGACATATAAATAATCTATAATAATAAATTAAAGAGGAAAGATTTATTTGTTTTACATTATATAGGCTCGGTAACAACCTATTCGAAAAATTAATTTACTGTTGGGGACTGTTTCCTAGTGAAATGGGCTATATTAATGGGCACAGACAACTGCTATAAAAGATAAAGAAGATTAATTAGGCAGAACCAGATAATTAAGCTTACTATATTTAAATTAGAGATGACATTATCGTTTTTTTTGCCAACTGTTAAATATAGCTTTATAAGAATAGATTGATAGATTTATATCAATATTGTGGATTTAAAATATTGTATTCTATGTTTGCAGGTCGCTGAAGAGATTTGGATTTGTGAGAATTCAACAGTAACAAAATGGAATGGTGGCATTCTGAAATACAAGGACCATCTTAAGTCGAGGATCATGAAAGAAAATGCCGATAACGCAGCGAAAATACGCAAATAATGTAGTTAATGACTTAGAAACACTTTTAAACGTAAATTTAATTTGCACGTCTTGCTTATAAGCACAATTACCAATAAGCGCTTACGATCACGTCTCCACTTAACACCAGTTGGAAATGAATTAAGGGCTTTTTTTTATTTATAAAAATAAATTTATTACCAGCAAATTATTATTTACACTCCTTGTACGAAAGCGGAGCGGACACAAAACACATTCCTATACATTGGAAAAGACTTGAATAAAAAAATGATTGATTTAAATTGAGAAATGACAGATAATTTCGTGACTCAAAAGTGTTTTAATTCCATTTTAATTCCGCTTCGTTTTTACTTTTTTTTTATCTTAAATATATGTCAAAATTATCTTATGTAAGGGAACTAATTATACATTTCCCATTCACCATTTTTTTTACTTTTAGTTATTTTAGGGTATAGTGGTTGGAAAATTCAATGTTTATTTTTCATTAATTTATATACTTGCTTTTTATATATAATCAAATATGTTAATTGTGCTTACAAGTGTATATCATATTAATACTTACAATCTAGATTTTCATTTGCATCTCACAATCAGGAATATAACTAAATTATTCGCTTAAAATTATGTCAATCAGGTTTTTTTAAATAACACTTAGACAAAATGCATGTTTGGTATTGACATTGTGCAATACATAGATATTAATCGCAACTTATAGGTATTAGTACAATTTCCCTAATAGATTTATATTATCTAAATGAAATGTTGATAACCCTTACGTAAAACAATTTTTTTTTTAAAGTTAATTTAATAGCCAAATTTTGTATTTCAATTTTTTTTTAAAATATCTATAAACATATTTATATATTCCGGTTGAATGTGTTATAAAGTATTACGTTGTTTGATTATTGCATAAGTAGCTAATTTTACACAATCTGTTTAAAAGCAATCAAGCAAAAATTAACAATTGAATTAAGATATTAAATAAAGTAGCCTTTGTCACATATATTCTCTTTTATTTATTTAAATTCCCTTATATGTATGGTAAATCATGGTTGCAGAAATATTCATCTTACTTATATTAAAAATGCGAAACATTGGATAGATGGAAGGATGTTTATTTGAAGGTATCTCCAGAACGGCTGAATAGGTCTCGATGATATTTGCCATTCAAATAGAACATAGTCTGGAAGAACATATAGGCTACTATTTAAATTTCTTTTTTAAATTCCACGCAGACTGAGTCGTGGGCGACAGCTAGTTATTTATAACTGTAACAACAATTTCATTACGGTGTAGGGAAAAATTGTATTGACATTGCTGATTTTCGCCGAGTTGACGTATTGACGTAGATTTAATGACAGAGTTTTTATGTTGGTCAGGCTTTATCAACATGACCAAAAAGGTTTTACAGCATCTAGGAGGTTACATTACTTATGACGTGTATTTTCTCTATAATTATTTATAAGATATAACGTCGGTTACCCAGACAACGAATCTAATTCGTAAAATCTCATTACGCCGTAATTATATAATTTTAATGTTACAAAAACTCATAAAAGTTAAAACATAATTCTGCCTGTAGATGTAGCATCTAAAGAGATTTATAATTCGTTCTATATTCAAAAGAATAAAAAAAGATTAAGAACAATACTTTTCTTCTACAATTGTCAACAGTGTCACAGTTTTTATAACTTACATTTCTTCTATTAAAAAAAATATTTGTAGGTATTGGTTTGTATTGTTAAAATTATTCATACACAATTTATGTTGATGTCTACAAGATATGATATATTAAAGTCGTGGTTATCGAGTTATTTAACATTTGGAATTGATATTGTAATAGTTGATTTTAATTAGTAATATAGAAGCGTGGTGAAAATAGTCTGCGATAATGTCAAAGAAGGATGATAAGAAAGATGATAAGAAAAAGGACAAGGGAAGTAGCGCATTTCTAAAGGATTTCCTTGCGGGCGGTATATCTGCAGCTGTGTCAAAAACTGCTGTAGCACCCATTGAGCGAGTGAAGCTACTGTTGCAAGTGCAGCATGTATCTAAACAGATTGCAGCTGACAAACGATACAAAGGTAAACGAAAAATGCATCCTCGATTTTTATTTTCGGTTAATCTATATCAACTATGAGACAAACGTTCCATCATACGTTTGGGATGGTTAAGGGGTGATTAGGTACTATAGAATTATAATCTCCAGAACGAGTTTTATACAAATTCAAAGTTTTGAAGGAGGCTTTTGAAGTGTCAGCACATTTGACATATCGTACTAGTTTTATTTTAGTGGATGTTGAATTATTCTATAATTCATTTCATTAATATGTTTTTGAGTATAAATACATGGATATTTAGAATTCGAAAGGGGGAAGAAAGCGTGTTGGAAAGATAAAATAAAACATAGGCCTAGGAAAAATGTTTACAATATTACTACCATGGTCAGCGCGTCTCGTCCACTAAACCTGCATACTAATCTAAAAATTTACACTGACCTTCAATATTTCCAGGTATAATGGACGCAATTATACGTATCCCTAAAGAACAAGGAATAGGATCCTTTTGGCGCGGAAACTTAGCGAATGTGCTTCGATACTTTCCAACGCAGGCGCTAAATTTTGCGTTCAGGGATGTATACAAGGGTTTTTTTCTTAAAGATATTGATAAAAATGTTCAATTTTGGAGATATTTCGCTGGTAACTTAGCGTCTGGCGGTGCCGCTGGTGCGACTTCGTTATGTTTTGTATATCCCCTAGATTTTGCGAGAACTAGGTAAACAAATTTCTTTAATTTAGTAGTCATTAATTTACAAATCTTATATTAATACGTTTGATTTATCATCAGATTAGCTACGGACGTCGGAAAAGGAAAGTCTAAAGAGTTCAACGGTTTGATTGACTGTCTTCTTAAAACTTTAAAGTCCGATGGTCCTATTGGCCTGTACCGTGGGTTTATTGTATCTGTACAGGGAATTATCATTTATCGAGCCGCTTACTTTGGTTTCTATGATACTGCACGCGGCATGTTGCCAGATCCAAAGAATACTCCTATAATCATATCTTGGATGATTGCACAGGTAAAGTATTTTTTGTGGCTTAATTTTTTTATTCATAATTCAACAATGCGTTATGACGCCAGGAGGAAACGTTAAGAGGTTCATGACATCAAATTAACTGATTTTGAAGCTGGTCACAAACAACAGGGTAATGTGATATTTATTTTATTTCAAAGTTGTGTTTGTTCTGACAGACTGTAACAACTGTGGCTGGGATCACATCATATCCTTTGGATACGGTTAGACGAAGAATGATGATGCAATCGGGTCGGCCAGTGCACGAACGCCAATACAAAAGCACCGCCCACTGCTGGGTTACTATTCTACGCCAAGAAGGCCTGGGAGCCTTCTTTAAAGGTGCCTTTTCAAATATACTCCGAGGTACTGGAGCGGCCTTTGTACTTGTGTTGTACGACGAAATAAAGAAATTAATTTAGTTAATGTCAATGCTGTCAATGTATCAGTTTTCGGTTGGTGTTATTTCGATGACTTTTATAAGGGCGTTATATTTAAACCACTGTGTTGTATATTACGTCTTTATTAGTATTTATCAACAGTTTTTTTGTATTAAATTAAACATGTGAATGCATTTTAATTTTCATTGATATTAAAAGTGTTGTAAAATTTTATTGCTTTTATTTTATGTCGCAAAGTAGAGCTACTCCTCGTAAGGTCCAATGTCTGGGATTGCTGTCTGTTTCAAAGTCTATTGAGCCGACGTACTTGGCGTCGGTTCGTTGGGGCTTCCTGTAGATTGGGCACTCGTATAACCTGGGATCTTTTCCTGCGGTTGTGTTTATTGCGAATATATAAATTACTGGCATTTGCTCATAAAGAACTTTGGGTTTGGATTCAATCAGCTTGCCCGTTTTTCTGTCAAGAGAAGCGCCTGAAATGTTGCGAATGAATTTTAGTTCGGTGATCTACTTAAAATTTACAAGCAATAAAATTTCTACTCTGGATATGAAACATTTATTGTATACCTTCAAGAAACAAGCCGTAAACATAAACCCCTTCCGACGGTCCCTCATGTACGTCCTCACGATTGAGCTTCGTTATATGATTTTGTAAGACGACAGAATCTAAAGCCCATCCTTTATGACTCCTGGTTACTTCCTGGAGATTGAACCACAAATGTAAATAACCGGCTAGATAAATGCTGCTTGTAACCATTATACAAAGGTAATTAATAACTCACCTGTCTCATAGCTGTCAAAAAGCCTTGTGGATTAAAAAAGCCTGTCATCCAAAATGTATGAGGTCTGCCATTTCGCAGCCACGCTCTGTACTGCTGCTCTCGTTCCAATAGCTCAGTGTACCAAAACCCTAAAGTTGCTGATTCCCATGATACCTGTTTATGAGAAATATACCTCTTAATTTTAAACTTTATATTTTGGATCGCATGTTTAGAAGAAATAAAGAAATAAAGAAATAATGGTTGTCCATGCAACTGTTGTAAAAACGCTTATTATTTTTATAAATGGATATCAGTTTGATACCTTCGACCATTGACTGGGTATTCTTGCATCGTACATAGCATCTAAAGATTCTCGTAGCCCTTGGCTCATCACGATTGTACCATCAATCGCCAGTTTCAAATCGCATAAAGTCGTGAATACTGTTTTTATGACTCGCTGTATTCTGTCAATCTCTTGCCTGAAAACAAGAATTATTGAGATTTTTAAATATACCAATTAATCCTTATTAGGTATTATCAAAGACGAAAAAAGTAGTGTGTAAATATTTAAGTTTACTTAACCTTAAGAAAATATTCATTGGTAAAAATGCGCCCATCTTTTGTAGAGCCTCTCGAACTTCGAAAGTGACATACTGTTTAGGTAGTTTTTCCAACATATCTTCAGCTAAACGATATACTATACTTTCTCTAGTTTCACCTCCCTGACTGCCTCCTTCTTTAGGTTGAACACTAAGTATAGTATCCAATATATCTTTAGCGCTGTTTATCTGATATGTAATGTCTGCATTACCATGCAATCCAAATACTTCAGGAGTATCAGTCAAAGGCAATTGGTTTATGTAATCTACGTATCCTTGTATATTCCTCGTTTGTGGCACTTTGTAACCTTTGTAGAATTCAAAACCTGGTCTTAGAAGCACGTCGCAAAACCATACGTTAGTAAATGTGGTCAGTAAACGTTTGTCGAAATCATCAGTCACCCGACCACCGTATTGTACCTCTCCGAGCATGTAACAAATAGTAGGCCATGAAATTCCTTTCTTCGGGTCAATTTCGTCTAAATGGTTCTGAATAAATTGGACGCTCGCAGCGTAATCAGCTTGATTAAACTCATAAGGAATATTCCACCCCAAAGGTCCAAATTTCCTTCTTTCTTGCACGATAGTGTGCAAAAATGCAACAGCATATAGTAGTGGAGGCCATTGGGATAGAGAAGAATAATCCAAAGTATCTTGGGTGATATTTTGATAAGTTCTTTTCATGCTGGCTCGAATTCCTTGAGGTGGCTCGTTAGTAAATTTGATTGCCATCTGCAGCAAACCTATTGGAAAATCTGTATGCACTTCAGTTGTGAGCCAAAGTCGAAAAGATTCTTGGATGTGTTCAGTTTCAATCAGGGCATCCATAGCTTCGACGCAAAACGGTAGAGACAAATGAATATTTTGCAACAACACCCAGCCTCCTTCACTCATCGAGTCTGAAATCATCTTACGGGCTACGATTTCTTGGCCCTGACCCATTGAGACTGCTTTCAAAACTATAACAAAGGGGAGACGATGAAACAAAAGTGCAAGTAAGTAAACCTTAAAACTAGTGAAATAAGTTACTTACCAATATCTTTTGACTTAGCCAATGTCGCAATTTGGGCAGAAGGATCTGATCCGATTGATAGTATGCAAATGAGCGGTGTTCGAGGTTCAGACTCTTGCCAAGTACTTTCGAGGTTTAGGATTCGCCCTTCTCCGTATTCAGCACCAAGCGAATCTATAGAAAATGATAAGTTACTAAGAATACCCAAATGATAAATACGTTAATGCAATTATTGCATTATCAATTGTTTTTTTGAATTAATTTAAATCTTTAACCAATGATTAAGAATACCATATTATACGAACCGACTATATACTTGCGCGCTTGTGACAATGTTCGGTCAGGACTCCAGGATCTTATCAGCAGTAACTTACGAAAAACATCGAGACTCTCGTTGTAACCGGATGGGATCGTCTCTTCCTCAGGTTTTGCCTTTTCATACCACACCCGCCACTCTTTTTCATTTGTTGCTATCTGAAGTTAGATTTCATTATTTCAAAATTTGAATTGAAGAAATAAGAAATCAAATCAACACAAATAATAAAGTTTTATTACTTTTTGAAGAACGTCTGAAAATATTTTCAATTTACTAATTTCAACCAAATTAAGCCAAGTTATATCCAAAATCCATTTAAATGGCTTTGGCGTAACGGCATTTAAGTCAAGTGATGCACCACCCTTTACAAAAGCCATGAATTCGTCATGAGATATTAGACCTCGATGGCAGTCTATTTTCATGGCTAACATCAAAGTAAACAGAGCTTTGTGCCTCTCGTATAAACTTCGCAAAGTAAAGGCCCATACTTCATGCGTAAGGTATTTCAGTATCAAGTTTATTCTTTCTTCGGTAACATTACTCTTTGTTGACTTAGTTATAGAATTATCAAATATATTTAGGAATTGCTTCAAAGAATTTTGGTACATAATGTTTACATCACTCATTTCAACAATCAAAAAATATAAAATAGAACCTCTAGCAGCAACAGCCCTAAATTCTTCTCTAGCTTTGATGATTTTCTTTTCGGTTACTTCAGCTACTATCAATTTTTCATTCACTTCTTCAGCTGTGGTTTTAGTTATCTGTAAAACTTGAATTAACGCTTCATCATCGACTAAAGATCCTTCGGATGATGTCAGTCGGCATAGCAAATTGCTTTCCAACTCTTTCATACTTCTTTGATTTTTCATCACTGATTCAAAAAGAGCAACTCGTTCTTCTTCCAAATCTGATTTTTCCATTAATATTACTCGACCCAACAACTGGTCCTCCAGACCTTGCATTGTGACTGTGAAATCTATGATCGATGTTTTTGCACTAATTTCTGGAGAGTAAGCAGGATTCGGCAATTTAGTTGTAATGTAAAGCATGAAGCCCGGCATCACGTCACATTCCTTATCACCTACTATAACTTTTTCAATAGAACCTGATTTAATGAAATTCTTTTCTAAAACGTTATCTATGACTGGATCTAGTTCTACGCCAACATCCTCAATCAAAAGTGGTCTTCCGAGAGATAAACTATCTTCAAGGTGTGTTCTAAAATATTTATGATTCAATGAAGTAATTTGAAGTTCGTTAGTGCTTTCTTTATTCTTGATCCAATTTTTACCTTGGCTTTGTGGATCAACTAACAGAGGATATGAGCTAGACTTTGTAACAATTAAAGCATTTTGAACGGAAAGTTCATCATTTGGTAGACCTTGAAGAGTCCACTCAGATATAGTGGCACTTTCTACTAACATATTTGTGATGTTTAAATTATCTGTGACTGGTATATGTTTACTCTGAAGAATTCCCATCCACGTATTGAACAGGCTATTTCTGAATTCTTGATTGTACGGTCCACAATATGACAAAAATCCTGTTGCCAATACAACATCACCAACCAATCTACCAAGTTGTTCTTTAAAATCTTTACTTTGTTGTGTCCATCTTATTTTTTCGCCTCCTAGGCCATTTATCAAGGCTGTAGCTGCTGTCATTTTCCTCAGACAAACATTGGCCGCGTCTGTTAATTGTTGTTTCTCAGATACTGCTGACTCATACTGTTCCTTGACTTTTCGCAGCGACATTTCTCTCTCTTCCAGTTGTCTTTCTGCAGATGCTAAATCTTCCATAGCCACCTATAATGATAAAATATTAGCATTATTGAATGTTTTAACTATAGTTTCCGTAATTATTATTATTAAATACTATTTACTTTTAATCTTGCTTCTTGCAATAAAAGATTTGCCTTTAGAGGCAAAACTTCCTTGTTAACGCTGTGAAAGAATGCCATTGCTTTTGTCCAGGAAAGTAAACCAGCAACGTCCCCGCAAACACGTTTAGCGGTATCCATATTATAGTCTTCCATTTCAAAATATGGAACTAAATGTTCTACCATTTCGTTATTGATAATATCCTTTGGATAGTTTTGTAATTGTAGAAGAAATGTTGTACTCGCCATCATCTGAAAGTAAAAAAGAAAAGTTTTATTAAATAGTACTTAAAAACTATGTTTGGATTTCAGGTAATAACCTTAAGGGACTCGGCCCACGAAGGTTTCGGGCAAGGTGCAGCAGTATCTGGTATTAACGGATGCAATCTGCGTTGGAATAAAATTAGTACACAGTCCATAATTCTCATAATAAGATGTGGTGGCCGACCCAACTTTCTGACAGTAGCAATGTGTGCTGGTTTTATTGTATTAAGAGCCGCTTCTGCTTCTTCAAGAGCGGGCTTAGCCGCTTCTAATTTAATTTCAGCTTTCTCTTTTTCTTCAGCAATGTAAGCTACTAAGGCTTCGGCTTTTTCTTTAACTATTTGCACTTGATTTTTTACTATCTCTGCTTGCATAGCCCTCTCAGTAACTTCAGTCAGTACTCGGTCAGCTTTTTCAGATGCTAAAGCTAAGTCTTGTTCCATAACCGCTAAATCTTTCTTTAAAACTTCAACAGAAATGGAAGCTTCACGAAGCTTTTCTAATCCAGTATCCATTCTCAGTGCCCCGTCCCCTAGTTCTTTTTGCTTCATTTGATAAATAGTTTTGTAACCTCCTATAAAGCTAAGATATGATTTTGGTGTTACATGAGACGACCTTCTAAATCGTTGGAAATAGTCTGTAGATACTTTAGATACAACATCTTGAATCGTCCCTAAGACTGTTACGAGTTCTTTTTTAACTTCTTTAGTGCACTCTATCTCAAATTCTGCCAGAAAATGGTCCGCAACAGATACTAGAGCATCTTTTGGCCAAGGTTGAAACCAGTCAATAGTACAACCAGATATAAGAGCAGGAAAACGTAAAGCTCGATACCTAAATGCTTCACTAACCTAAAATAATAAGGAAACTACATTATTTTATCATTAACTTGTAGGATATAATTGTTGTTAAAATTAAATTACTTACTGGCGAGAAACATAAAACAACGTGAAGGTTTTGGCAGGTTCTGTTAAGAAAATACTCCATTACTAGTTCATTAGTTAAAGTTCGCTTCTGGTTTTCTCTCTTCATAATTGGTGTTAGTTCCGAAATAATTTCTTGCTGTTCATCCTTGGTAAACAAATTAGATATGACCCCAGAAGATAATATATTATTTAAATATTCCAAAAAGCCTTCTTCTTTAATGTCCAAATCAGTAAATATAAATGTAGTTCCTTTACCTTGTACACCACATGATCTGTATAATAACTTAAGATCTTCTAAAAAGTTACCGACATTGTATGATCTTGTTAAAGCTATTTGGAAGGAACGATATCCAGCAATAAAAGTTGATAGTTTTGTTAGCGATTGCTTGCCAGACCCTCCTACGCCCACTAGCATTACATTTCCTCTGGGGTGTCTTATAACTCGAGATATTTTTACTAAATGAAGCATTGCGTCAGGGAAAAACACCAAATCCATTCCAGAGCCTCTGACCATTTCATTGAATTGCGATAGAAACATGTCTAATCTGTCCCGTAATTCTTCAAAATCAAACACCGGCTCATAAACCTTCGGCAACTCCATATCAGCATCCTCACCTTCTTCACCAGTCGGTTCCGGTGCGTCCCTGTATGAAAAATGAAATAATTAGACTGTACCCTTCATAAAATATAACGCATTTAATATATTTACCTCATAAAATCAACAAATACGGGATCTTTATCCATCATTTTTTTGTATTCCACACCCAATACATCTGTAGCAATTTCGTACAGGGCGCCATTGAACCAATCTTTATCAGCTTGATGTGTAAACCTGTCTGAAAACACTCGGGAACATTCGTGTTTCCATAACAGCATGAGACACTTTTCCGATTCGATTACAGTCGGCAAGGTCCCTACCATACCTTGCCAAACTCTTGACAAATCTCTTAACGAAAATACATAATGGAACTTAGCTGGTGTAGGTAATAGTTTCTGGCGCGTTCGTGTCCATAGTTCTCTTGTTAAAGGTATTACACGTTTTATGAGAGATCTTACTTCTGCAGTAAAACCACGTTTAACATTATAATGACCTTCACCTATGACTTTGAAAATTTTATCTATTGATTCATTGTTAGGCAAAGGACAGTTGAATATAGAAAATTGTCTCTTCAAACGTGCTGGAATATCGTTTCGTCCCCCACCTATAAAAGATGATAAATTAAGAAGTGGTCAGAATATTTAGTAAAGGAAGAAAATATTTATTGTATAAAACATAACCTGGCTGTCCCATAGCACCTAAGAATTGAATATCCACAATTGTAGTAAAATCTCCAGGTTTTTCCAAACTATAAAATCCTCCCATGCTCATTGTCTGCCTTACAATTTCATTTGTTATTTGATCACCCCATTCATTTATTTGTGGAAGATTTATGTCATCTATAAACACTAACATTTTTTTACCTCCCGGTGGACCAAAAGTCATGCCACTACGTTTTTCGACGTAGCTTTCTATAGTTTTTTGGAATTGATAAGGACTCGTTGCAGAGGAAAAATTAAATGAACGACCCATGAATTGTTCTGGGTTAGCATTTTTCATATAGGCTTTCATCATAACCGTTTTCGCTGATCCTTGTTCGCCTAAAAGAAGTACTGCTTTTCCTTGTTTTGCAATACAATGTATAAGATAATTAATTCTCACGTTATCTACAATTGGAACTAGGATACTCGAATAATCAGGTGTTGCGGTGTCAGGATATTGATAGTTAGTCATCAAATCATCCCATAACTCCCATTTACCAGGATGTTTCACATAAAAGTCAAAAACAATACTAGGTTTATTACTTGGGTGTTTTGGTAGTTCCAGAATGTCCACGAAAGATGTTTTAATATGCTTATCAAACCTAGCTCTATCTTCTGTTTCAAGAAGTGATCCAAATCCCCATATCAATGCAAAAATATAAATTTTATGTAAATGTTCATGCGTAAAGAGAATAATTTCTTCCGATTTTTCCTTTTCTTCTTCATCGTCTAAGTCACCATTTACCGATTTATTTGCTGAAGGTTCTTCTACTTCTACGATCTGTGGTGGTACTAGACCTTCTAATATATTAAGCATTTGAAAAACTATGTTGCTCTGAAGTACTCGCATACTGAAGGTAAGATTCTGAGTACACCATGTGTAGGTACTTAGAAATGTCTGTTCAAATAGAGCACTAAAAACTTCTATTTCCCTTTGAGATCTTGACATAAGCCATGCGCTGAGGACTGCATAGAATTTTTTTTTAGATTTAGTATTTTGTGAGACTAACAATCATAATACATTTAGAAAATAATTACCTGGCTCCCAATCCAAGCCTGAAGAACTCATGTATACCATTCCATTACGAGAAACGGTTGCAGGAGAGGCGTTATCGATATTTTCTGGTTCGAAAATAATTTTTGAAGTAGGAGACATTGTCAATCGGTCACCATTAGCTAAAGTCAGTGTTTTATTATCATCAAGCACTGAATTCAAATTTTCAATCCATATGCTGTCTACCGGACCGTCGAGAACCAACCAAATATGTTCTCCTGTTTTGATTTTTAATGTTTTTCGCCATAGAGCTGAGAATATACCGTCGGTCCAGTCGTTTGTGGCAACATCTAGACGTCCAAACATTTGCGCCGCAGTTATAGCTTTAGGATTCATACGCATTTCTCTGAAAACAGAATTATTTAAGGGATTATTGAATAGGTAAAGATTGGCAATATAGTAGTTATATCCATTATTTTACTTGTGCGGGTCTTCTATGTTAGATAAAGCAGTCATCAAGGTATGAATACACGTTGTTTTCCCGGCGCCAGGTGGACCCAGAATCATAATACCATGTCGTACCCTCTGTGTCTCGTAAAGCTAAAGTTCAGATAAAATGTAGTATATTAGTTTTGTATCGGATTCATCGTCAGTTTCTAATACTGTTATTTTATTTCTAATCAAATATTTGTACCTGTATAATCTTCAACACCCATGGTGGATGATAGATTAAACCAGCTTGATCAACTTGTTTCCTTATTGCGTCTTCTAGTTCGGGGTATGTAGTTTTTTCCAATACTTGATTAGGAAATAGATCAGCTACTAAAGATATAAATAATGGTTCATCTTCGTCTATCAATTTAGATAAATTCATATCTCGTAGGACACGCATCACGATCGTACTTTCATTGTCTTTTGAATTAATTCGCTTTACAGCACCTAGAGTTCTCAAAACTGATAGAATGTTTCGAAGTCCAAAATCATAGTGAACCTAAAAAACAAAAATATTATTTTTACAACTATAAGAAATAAGTAGAAGAAAACTTCGGTGTTCATTATAGTAATAAGTACATTTACCTGTTTTGTTAACTGTTCCTCACACAATTTGTAAAGCGTGTAAAACTTTCGAGCAAGTGTGATATTCTCAAGAAAACCGCATGAAGCCAACTTTACCCTGATGATGATTTGTCTGTCTGGCACCATCATAGCTACTGTACGAAATTGAATCTTCAGATTTTCTGGAAGCTCTTTACGTCCAGCGTAGCCCGGGTTCTGGGAAAATATAATACACAATTTAATTATACTTGTAAGAGCTGTAATTCTATATTTTCTATACCTTCTTATATAAAGTACATTCCATGGCGGATAATTTCCACTAGTACGTAACACATTTACTGCATTTTAAGGCCAATAAAAGCTCCCATACGTCTCTTTTACGTCTGCGTCGTGGGAGTCTAAAAGGGACGTATTATGAATAAGTTATCACAAATAATTACCATTGTAATAAATATACCAAACTCCGGGCACATATCAGACATATCTCCGTCTGTGAACAAAAAGGTCTTTTTCTTTTCTTTCTTAGCTGCCAGGACGACGGCAACTTGTTGCGCAGCCACTGACAGTACAGGCAACTCAATACGATTGAACTCATCAAAACAACCCCAAGAACCCGATTGTGCCAAACCTTTGTAAATACGGCCGAGGCCTCTGAAAACAAAAATTATAAGAAAATTAAAGTACATTTAAAATATCGTTAGTATTTTTCGATTGGTTTAAACAATGGATGGCGGTATAATAAGATCTGTATCCGATGATAATACATGCGCAAGATGTATGGATGAATAAAAACTTTGGAAGCTTTGCTAGGATCATGTTAAATTGACCCTCTACACATCTGAGTAATGGGCATGATCGTCATAAGGATATCCTTTTGTTTTACCTGTAATCCATTTGATCGGAACAGTTGAAGACTACGACATATTTAGCCAGAGTTTTGCCCATATCTTTGACAGTTTCTGTTTTCCCTGTGCCTGCGGGACCGCAAGGCGCTCCGCCCATGCTCATAGCCAATGCTTGAGCTAATGTTATATAGCATCTGAAATTATTAACAGTATTCTTTTAATTTCCATCTAACACGTAAGTATTTACAGAAGGAATCATCAAGGAAGGAACTTACAGACAATACTACTAATACTACACAATACAGACACAGGACAAGAGAGAAAGAAAGAGATGTTAGATTTGATAAACAAATACCCTTAAAATAATATCATTGGTACCCGTAAAACTGTTCTTATTTAAAAGTAGTTACCGGTCTGTCAACGGCGTGATGACCAATCTTTCGGTGCAGCCCAAATATTCATTTTGGTAAGCAAAAGTGACATCTGTTACCGAGATCCATGTCTTGTCTGCGTCCTCCTTGAAATAGAAGCGACACTGCTTCAACCACTCGAAGTCATTCGCTGATCGCACGTTGAGACGACACTGTAAAGTTACAACACAAGGTTTAAAGAAAGACATCTGGAATAAGAAGTAAGAAGTTACTGACTTAGTTAACAAATCTGTGGAATGAAAATAGAAAGGAAGGCTAGGCTAACTATATCATAGTACAAAGTTTTCAACTTTAACTAATAATGATTATAACATTGAAGAATTTTTTGTTAAATATCTTACCAACATATCAAATATATCTCTTTGGTGGACATGTATGGTGATAAGGGTTTCAAATTTGATGCGTTCAATTTTATGCAGGTCTCTTGTTGTTTGGTCTATGAGAGTGTTTAGAAGTTCCAAAAATTTGTTGTTAGTTTCCATCATTATCTTCTTATCTTGTCGAGCTTGCATCAAAGCTAATTCTGCGTCCCGTGTCCAAATTATTTGTATTCCTAGCAGCCCGACTTGCGCCGGCATTTTATCAAGGAACAGTAATAAATTGAAAGAAGGATCATTGAGAACTGACACAGCATTACGTATAATCGAGTGCAGACTACTTTGAGCAGATTGCAGTAGGGACGTCAACCATGTTTCTACAGAACCCTCAGCTCGTACCGGTCTCTCGAGTTTAATTTCTTCACCTTCAGATGACACGATTGCAATCATTTTATTGTACTCTGTAATTTAAAATTATTTATTAAGGTGTTATTATATGTACAATGAAGTTAATAAGAAAAATAGTTCTACTTACCGATGTCATGGAATTTCACGTATCTAATATTGTCAAATATAGATAGTAAATGATTTTGTATTGTATGTGAATCCGATGCCTGACCCAAAATCTCAAGTAAAGCTGGATCTGACACAAAGAAGAATCTTGGAAACATAGTTCTCTTCTTCTCTAAGTAGCCGCTTAAACTCTTCTGGCAGAGTTCCAATTGCTCCTGCAGATGGGGCAGGAGTTGTCGCAGAAGATCATCTCCAACACAGCAAGAAACAACGCCGGGAGTCTCGTGAGCTCGTTGCATAATCTTTTGCCAGGATTTGTCAATTTTAGAGAAACGCTTAGCTTCTTTTGGAAGCTGTTTTGCAATGTCGCCACCAACAAAGACTGCCTCTAGGTACACCCACATATTTTGCACGAGCAGCCATCGTTCAAGGATCTCATTTGTGCTCTGCAAGTCGAATAGCCACTGTTGTATCTGCTTTCGGAACGGTGCATTATATCTAAAAAATCATTTTTGTCCACTTTTCATAACATGCAAACTCGGATAATTATGTTATACTCAATAGCTAATTTTCTGAGAATATTTTATTTTTAGTTGTTATTGTAAAAACTTTTTACCTGTTTGATAAAAGGGATCCCAAGATCATAAGACTATCTTCAAGCTGGCCAATTGTCTCAGCTGTGGTGTCGCCGCGGAGTAGTAACTCGCCACGATTGTTAAATGTTTGGAAAGTGAGTTCGTGCACCGACCACTCATTTGTAACTTGACGCAACTTAGCTTCGATATCCTTTTCTTTCATCGCGGATATACAAATATCCTGTATGCAAGGGGCACAAAAAGATAAAATCATTTCACATATTTTCAACATTATGTTGACAAACTTTTCCTAACGCGTAATTTATCTGTCATACTGTAGTCGACTACCACTCTGTTATATTCTCCTGGTACCTCAGCTCACGAAAAATCGTTCGAGGTTCCCGACAGTACATGCGCAGTTGATACCCGACGCCCACTGAATATTGAAAGAATAATATAGTCTCAGTCAGCGTCTTGCTTTCAACAGGACGATACAATCACAATCGATTGTTTGTCTGTTGATTGTTTACAAATGAATGTTTGTTTTTCTTAGTTATTTAAGGATGTTGCTACAACACTGACATATGATTTGTTATTTCTACAATTTAATAAAGTGTTGGAAAAAATACAATTAATAAAAAGTGGGGGACTAGAGGTTAAGATGGACACTAAAAATCCGACATTGTACAGATAATCATAAACCTCATTTTAGCCAAACAATTTACCTCAATATCCTCTTTGTTTTGGAGCAATGGTGCTTCTAAAATGTTTTTCAAGCAAAAATCTTCGTTATCGAGTTCAAAATTATATTTGGTGACTTCCATAATCCGTTGCCAGTGACGCGGCTTCATCGCTTTATTTGCCATCAACTCGAGAAGAGGGCACATGTCGTTAAAATCATCAATTGTTTTCTTTAACGCGTAGAATGCTGGCCATTCTTTTAATCTGTTATGATCGGTTAAAATTTTAAAATACCAAAAAGAAAACCGTGTTTTGTAAATAAAGTGGTACTCACCCTTTAGGTAATTTTCTACACCTATTTTGAAATTCCATAAGTTCATTGTTAATTTCTTCAATGTTTACTTCACCCCACGGTATGTCATAGTAACTGCTCACTCTGTCTATCACGTCATTGTAGAGTTTGTAAAGTTTTTGGAGCAAATTTAGTTCCTTTCTGATTTGCGCGAGTTCTGGATACTCAGTATGAGGCAAGCCGAACAATTCTTCCCCATTTTGATACGTCTGCAGTTTTCTCCACATACCATCAAATCGATTCTGTAAAGAAATAAGTGTGAAAGTAGGCACGAAACCACAGAAAAAAATGCATTGCAGAAAATATTAAGTCATACTTAGTTTATACATAGTTTAGTTACATTTTATTGTTTTTTTTTGTACTGATTAAAAAACTAAACGATTTTATAAAACTTTGGGCAATTGATTTCTATAATCGAGTAACCAAGCATATCCCTGTGAAATGGATGAGGGTTGCAATTTTGTTACCTGGAATAATATCAGTCGGTCGGAGGCCTCACGAGGACTCAAGCCCGGCTGCATCGGACCAGCGTGTCTGTACTCGTGGCAGTAATCAGTATTATCGTCGCGAAACCTATCCAAATTGTTCTTGAGGTCGTCTTCGAATTGCGGCTGCATCTTAAGCAGTTGCACGTGGGAAGCGAGAGCGGTCGCTTGCAACTGTTGCCAGGTGTACCGAAGATTGTCAACTTGCTCTATATCCTCTTTGCTTACTGGTAGCTCGTAACGGGTGATGACGTTAAATGCTTCCTGAAATTATAAATACCATTATTGAATAGAAAACTTTGCCACCATTTTATAGAGTTGTTAAATGAAGAAAACACTCCAAAAGCTGTGCCGTTTATTGCAATTATGGTAAAAATACAACTCTTAATTGCGTTTAAATATTTGAAAATAAAGAAACCAATATAATACACATTTAAATATAAACGAAACTTGATATCGTTTACCTCAACTGGGTCAATCTTGAGTTCCATATCAACTTCTTGTTCTCGAATTTTCTTCAACGTTTCCATAACAGTTCTTACATCGTCTAAATCCCTTATTGGTCTTTCAAGCTTGCGTTCTAAATCATTCATTATCGCATAAACGTAGTCCATTTCGCGTTTGTACTTTTTGCGCATCGCTTGACTTATTCTGTACGTACCATCTGAAATACAGACGCTAACATAAATTCTTGCATTAAATTTCTGTTGAGTTATGGACTTTTTTAATTGAAATTATCCTAGTTTTACTATTGACTAAATTATTATCAACAATCGATGTAAGTTATGCGATTTTATTGAGGCTGAATGTTGTAACCACCTTATTGCTTTACTTACATTTTACTTAATCTTAAAACTTACTTTTAAGTTCTGTGTTCAGACCTAATTTAAGCTTCTCTGTTGACACTGCCAAGCAATTTCCTATAATCAACACATCCGGTTCCGTATAAAGCTTTGCTTCTAATTCACTGTGTCTCTTCAAAGCAATTTCAAAATCATTTAATGTCCATGCTAATAATTGACGAAGAGTTTTCTCACATTTCCATAAATAGTGATATGGTCTCCAGCGTTTTACAAGGGTATTCAGTTCCTAGAATTATATTAAAGTGATATAAGTGAGCAATTCTTGTATATATATATATACAAGATTTCTGAAATTCCAATTATATATATATATATAGAATCGGCTCCAACGATTTTCATAAAATTTTGTATATAGAGGGTTTCCGGGGCGATAAATCGATCTAGCTAGGAATTATTTTTAGAAAATATTTTATTCGTGTTTTATCGATAATCAACTCAAAACATAAACTTAACTTTTTCTATCGGTAAGATCGAAAAATATTATTCGTATTTCATCATTTTATTAGTAATTCGTACTTAAATATTATATAATTTCCAAAAAACACAGTCATCCAGGTACTTATATTAAAGTGATATAATATTTTAGTAAGCATCACGCATAGTTCATTTAGTATTATTCAGCTAAAATAGTAATCAGGATTCTCGTTATAACAATAAAATACCATGAAAGAAATAACATTTTCTTAAATTGTTTTAACAAACTTTAAATGTTTACTTACAATCTTAACATTTTGCGTACACGTTGATAATAATGACAAAGTTTTAACAATCTCTTTGTTCTCCATAACATGACTGTAGAAATTTTTCTGTTGCAATGGAAACACCGGTTTCTCCTCTGATTGCAATCTGTAGTATTTCTTCTTTTTTAATTTTGCCGCTTCACCCAGTCTCATTGATTTTGTCGCCATGTTGTTTACTGATTGGACCTGTTCGTCAAGCTTGGTAACTACTCCTAATAACTGGCTCGATGGGTTGACCGCGAGTTTCTTCCAACTCACCTGCATGAATGCAAATGCGCGTGCGAAGAGACAGAAAAAAGCAGAGCAAACAAGGACACAAGGAAAACAATAAAAACAAAAAATATATGTGTTATTTACAGAGATAATTTGAAAATAAAATCAAGCACATCAAGTGAGCAGCAAATTGTTATTAAGGAAGCCAGTTGATGCAAAATATTAAAAGTATTTGCGGACGAATACACCATCGAAGTAACAAAAGCGTGAAGTGACACGTTCCGGACGATACAAGACAATTAACGACACAAGTTTGAAGAACATTATATTAATAACTTTTGTATTGTTTGACCATACTTACTAAAACTTTTACAAATCAATAAAAAAATCGCAAAAAATCTTCTTTTAAACTTTTACTGATAGTGAAAGCATAACGTTTGACAGATTCTCTTCAGTTCTCTCCACATTTACCTGCTTGTCGTGTATCAATTTCCTAATCAAGGTGCTTAATCTACTAATGAACTTGGTCGATGTATAATTTACATCGGAATTATGACATTTCTTTGAGCCATGAGCTTAACTTCTTTAAAATAATGTTATCACATTTCAATATCTTGAATGCAAGGTAAACGGATCAATTAATAAATATCCAACCAAAACATGAATATAAACACAAAAAATGTATTACATTTTAATAAGCGTTTTTTCTTCTATTTTATAAGTAAGCTAAAATTAACCCAATATATATATGTTTTTCCGATATAAGGGTATTATTATTTACTTGTACTGTACCCAAGTCTTTGAGTACAAATCCTTAAACATAGGAATTTGAAATAATGTTATAGACTGAGCAAAGTTTTACCCTGGATGTTTTTCCTCCGCTCCATTGTGAGACGCCTTTTGATAACCCGGAAATATGTTTACCAGCAAGAACCAAGACCTCTTGAATTTCTTCAAGTGTTGGTTTAACTGACACATTTGGTATCATCAATGTCGCTTGTAGCAGAAACATTGGTTTCTTTTGACCTAAGCAAAAAAAAAAAGATTTTTTATCAACATATAATAAATTTTATTATTAGTAGCGACAAATAATTATTTAACCAAAATGCAATGTTACTAAATGAACTGATAAAAATTAATTGTCGTTGATGCGTCGAATCTGAAAATGAATCGGGAGAAGCTTTTATTTCAATTATAAGGAGACATTCCCCGTGCGGAAAATTTCACCCGCAACTATACCAGGATATCAGAATAAAATGGTGGGTCTTCAACGTTTAACTTCGTCTGAATTTCATGTCCCGCGGGCAAGCTAGTGAAAGCTTTATTCACTATGTAATAAAGGTTAAATTTAGTTTTATTTACTGATATTGATCACCACGTGGATGTTGGTTGGAGAGCGCATGCGTTTTTCAGGGCGACCACGTGGTGTATTCTGAAAAATGACTAGGGCCACATGTATGTTGAGGAGGTTGTTTATTTTCTAGAAATATTTATTTAGGGTCAGTGCTATCAGAATATATGAATAGTTACATAAAGATATCTGTGCTGGTGACAGAGGCGCCTCTGTCGAAATTAGTTCTTTAGTAAAATATATAAAAGCAAGTAAGTAAAATCAATGGGCACAGAAAACAGCCTAAAAGAAAAACACATGACATACTAGTTACAGTACGAAAAGTATTTTGTGACACTTTTTTACAGTTCAACAGCGCCTCTCTGTAGGCTGTCTTGTCATGTTTTTTTCTTTTATGTAATTTTCTATAACTATGTACCTACATACTTGTATTTACATATTTTTGATAGAACTAATCACAATAGCAGCGCCTTTAGGTGGCCCAGATAATCTTGTCGCACTATACAGAGGCGCTAATGAACAATTGTAATTTACTATCAAATAGGGCCACCAGACAGATAAGGCGGTATACACAGAAATTGAAAGCCACGTTCGTAGCTTTAGTCGAAGTACGCATGCGTGTTTCAGGGTGACCACGTGGGGCATCCTGAAAGATTACTAGGACCACATGTAAGATCAGAAGGTTGTTTGAAACTGACAGCAACGAAGTCCGCTAGGACCGTCCCAAACAGGGAAATGGTTGAATGGAACTTCATTAGCGTGGAGTTAAAAAATACGAAAAATTGTCTATGTTATATCTAAATAGAGACAATGTTAACGAGTATGATTTGACGACATGTTATAAATCGAACAAGTAAATAAAATGTTTCCAACAAGTGTTATACATATTATGTTAATAATAAACTCATTCAAAGTTTTATTAAGATAATAACTAACTAAATAACGTACGAAATAATGACACCGTTGGCGCATTTTAGTCTGGTTACCTAACATTGTTCACAAATAATACAATCTAACGACCAAAAATTGTCGCACCAAAATAAATAAAAAACGTATGTATGTATAATTTTTCTTGTTGCGTATGTCGGAAGACGGAACACAATCATCGTCATATTTAATTTTCATCATTTTTTTGTTTGGTTTAGTTTTAGTATATAGTTTATTTAATATAGTATTAATTAATTCATTTATTTTGTAGTGGTTAGTTATTTAGTAAGATTATATTTTAATTTATAATTAGGTTAATGATATTCTTCTATTTATTAATTATTGTGAACTATGTATGTATATTTTCATCATATTCTATTAATTAGTGCTTATATAATGAAACTTTTTGCTTGCATTGTATTATTTTTTTAAATATAAGACTTTTGACATTGTTTTGACTTTAGCATATTGCGTCTTGCGCGTTCGACTAGTTTTTATTAAAAATTATAGCATTTTCCGGTAGAAGAAAATTTATGAATTTCTTCTTTTATACGGTGTTATTTTTTGGATCCAAAATATTTGCTGCGATTGTGATGTATAAATATGCACAACGTAGGCCATTGCGCGTGTCGTCTATGGTGCAACAAGTCACTAGGAACTAGGAAGAATACCAAAGCTATATATCTATAGAAGAAGTCAGAAGTAGGTATGTCCGTTCTATTGTGCTATTAAGCGTAAACGGCCTACGGCTATGAAGAGATTACTTGAATTTATCATTACAATTGTATTATTTTCAAGAACCGTATGAAAATAAAAAGTTATTGATGAAATTGTAGACGTTTGATGCGGACGTTTCAAGCATATTTTATCCGCATCTATACTAGAACATCAGAAAATAATGGTGCGTTTTAGTGTGCACAATTTCACATTTAAGGTAAGCCTTATAATCTACAGCTTAAAGATTATTCTAACGGTGTTTTCAATCATTAACATGTTTGGGTTTGACTGAAGTGCGCATGCGGGTTTCATGACGACCACGTGGTTAATCCTGAAAAGTTACTAGGACCTCATGGAAGATAAAAAGGTTGCTTTAAAGGCAGAATATTTGCGTCAACCGAGTAAACTGCGTTTGGTATCACGCTGTACTGTTAAGATTACTTTCAGAGTAGCTGAACACAAGCCCGATGCAATGTATTGAGATCGTAAGGAAAACATATTAAAATTTATTTTTAAAGGTCTTCGCGGAGAGTTAAATTAAATAAAATATCTTTTTTGTTGAGAGATTTAAAATGTTTTTTTTTTTTTGGATTTAATTCATAACAATATCAGAAGTAATTAGCAGAATCTAGCAAATTAATGTAAATGTTTTTTGTTTGATAAATCGTTTAGTTCCTTCAGTTCAAAATTTTCCCGAAGCGTTGTCCGCATGCTGAAAATCCAAGGAAATTTCAACCGCACCTGCACCAGGTTATCAGAAAATAATTGCTGGTCGTTTGACGTTGAGTAAACCACGTGGATTTGCTTGAACTGCGCATGCGTTTTACACATTGATTATTTATTATATACTGAGTGGATTGTATCTATGATATGAAGATTGTTGGTTTAAGTGTGCGTAAAATTATCAGACACTGTGGTGGCGATATTTTAAACTAAAACATGAAAGATGAGAATGTTTTCGCCTTCATGTAATGTAGCCAGAAAATGTATAAAATATACTAAGTCCTTACTGAAATTAACCACACTATGTTTAATTGGACTTGAAAAAATAACGCAATAGTAACTGTAGGGTATTAATTATTATTAGGTATTAGGTATTATTAATAGCAAAAAAAAAATCGGAAATTACCAGTAGCTTCGTTATCCTTAGAGAATTGCTTGATTATAAGGTCCAAGCCTCGTCGTGTCACTTTGATGAGCACGTCTATTACTTTTCTACTATAGTAACGACGCATTTCGCTGACTGCATTCTTCACCATTTCCTAAACAAAGATAAAATTCAAATGAATAACATAATTCGTTATCAACATAGTCTTGAGTGACATATTTCACCCTTTTTTTATAATAATACTGCGCAGACGAAGTCGCGGACAAAAGCTAGTGAATAATAACATTTTTCTCTAAATTTTGTATTAAAACAGATCAAAGCAAATCCATTGCTGAAGCATCCCTACAGAAACATATTACTATCGCAAATCTATTTTTTGATCATATAATAACTATAGTCTCTGACAATAGGTCTGCTTTTATCGAGTCCATATCATATAAATCCTTAATCAAATCCAATCTATTTAACCAAATACCTGCATTCCTTTAGAGAGACCACCAGCGGGTGTTGACAGCAACTTGTGAGGGTTGTCAAAGCACTCCCACACTGCGGACCAGTCCTGCTGGCCGCTGCTCGTCGACTCGTTCACAGTTGAAGCTGCACCGCTCCCAGTTTGCATCTCGTCTGATACAAACGTCATTTATTTTTTTTAAATTGCTGGTGCACATAATGTAATTTAATCCCAGTACTCCACTAAGGAATGTTTGTAATAATACATATCCCTTATAAAATAGAGACTATAATATATTATTAATACATTACCACTGCAGTTGAAACCCACATTAAAGCACTGTTATCGCGTTTAGTTCTGTAAGAAACGTGTTCTATACACCTACAAATTGGCTCACCAAATGGTTGTTGCAATTTTTGGTTTGTTGGAAATTGAATCAATGCGAAAGCTAATACACTTTCAGGCTTATACCTTCACCGATAAGGAACTCGAAGTCGGGGTTTATTTCTGTTGGCTTGATTTGCTGAGCCGCCTTCTTTACTAAGTCCAAAACCTCTTCGACAGCTTCCTCCACCATCAAACTCTTTCGGTTCAACTCCACGCAGGCGTTTCTTTAACCAACATACATTTGCATTTCTTTTATTCATGCATTGCACGATAACATAACAATATCCAAGATAAATAACAAAAATAACTTAAAAGGTCCAAGGAATTTTCAATGGATGGTAAATAGCGGTGCAATGTAATGATTGTATGTTCTAATTCACCTACTTTTACACATCCAGTGTTTTTTTAAGATTAAGAGATATTTTCCATCTTACCGGCTTCCAGATTCTACGTGTTCGATAAACTCCTCCATGGACCAAGGTACTTCTTCTGTAATTTAAAAAACGAAATTTATAAATAAATTCAATGGCTGCTAAAACCAAAAATTCCCAAAATTATATTCATATAATTTCTGTAAAAATCCTTCTATTGTATTATAATTTTATGTATTTTCAGATATAAGTAGCTCTCGAACTATACATACATCTGCGCAACGCTAATATATCCGAAAAATGATAGGATCGCAGAAACGCAAGGAAATGAATTATTATTTTTTCTCTCTTCCTCTCGTGAAGTAACCCTATTTCTGTCTTTTTCGAGAATGAGCAACCATGTGTCAGGTCTAAGGTAATAAATAGAAGGTAATAGAAGTCCAAGAGCCAATGAACACTAAACCTATGCAACTACGACAGTAACAATTTTATTTAGTACATTCCAGAAAATAAAAAAAAATAATAAGGACATCTAATGTATGATTATTTTAAATTAATTATAACCAAGTTAAAAAAAGTACGCAAAATTAACATAATTTTTTTTTTCTAAAACCCGTAATCCAACAAACATAACTTTGAAAAAATTACTTGACCGAAGGAATGTGATGCATAATTTTTACCGGCAAGAATACTAGGACATCAGAACCGTAAGGTAGTTGCGCCAAGAGTGAGAAAATATAGCGCTTTCCCTTTTCCCCCTTTAGTGAAAATGTTATGAAATTTCACGATTGGTAGGTCTACACAGGATTTGCGTGGAGTGAGGCATCTCGGTTTGTTTGATGCTACGCCTCTTGTTGGGCCACCAAACTCGTTTTTCTTATTAAAGGTGTATATAAAATCCCAATACTAAATCATCTTTGTTAAACTGTAACTCATTTTCATCTAGCAAATAGTGGTCTGTCGCAATACATTACAGTTGTACTTAATTTTTACCCAAATGAAGTTTTATGTAAATCTTCCATTTCATGTCATACTAATTTAAAAGTATTGAAAATATTACTTTTCTTATAGAAAACAACGAGTTTGTATTAACTTACCTAAACTGTACTTAATTATGTGTTTGTATAAGCAACAACTGTAGCCTATAGCACTAATAACGTAAGTCATCTGGCCACAACTGGGGCGTGGCTTGTGTAGCACACAAAATGACGTACAACTTACACGTTCTCCCCCACTCTACTAGAGAGATGACGTCATCTCTCTAGTAGGGGGGAAAATGAGAGAAGTGAGAAAAGGAGAACTAGCGTTAGTGAAAGTATTTCAAGTGGTTTTGTTCCATTTTTTATTATTTATCTATCTATCGTATATACGTGTAATAACAGAATAAATATATTTATATTATAGCTACATCATAACAATTTAGTAAAATGCAAAATTTTTAACCTTTAATGTGAGATCGATGACATTAGAAAAGCTTATCTCCTCAATATGTAACCCTGAAAATTGTTATCACTTAAATATTTTACGCAATGCTTTACAATTACATTAATAAATCTTAATTATTATTTAAACTAAATACCGTATACCCATTATCTTTAACTTAGAACTTAAAACGTGTGGGTGTGTTTATTTAGTTTAATTGTCTATAGAATATTAGAACTATATAGAACGATCTCGCGGCTGAATACTAGGATGGCATAAATCAAGTGGTTTTCGTACATCAATGTTATATGATCCTAGTGAAGCTCCGCTCTCATCACAACAAAGAGTGCCGTTTCGCAGTTTCTCTAGATGCGACAAAACGGGATAAAAATTATTTAAAAAATTTGAGTAATAAACAGCCTTTTTTTCTTTAAAAACAAGTTAAAATAGACATGTGCCTATTAAAATGTAAAAAAACGTTTTTAAATTTCTTTTATGATAATTATGTTAGTAAGGTAGTTCAAAAAATAAGCAAAAAGTTGAAAAGGGTTTAACATTTTCATTAGTTTTTTATTACATTACTAGTTATTATAATAAAAAATAAAAAAAATTAAAATAAAGCCCATTAAGAACCAGCCGGCCGCTGGAATGTTAGGGTGGCAACGTCTGTTATTTTCGTCCGCATCAGCACCCGGGTAGGAGAATCGAAAGGAGGTTACATGGCTACGTTGATTTTTGCTCTCGCTCTTTCTTCAGTGAACATAAATTCAGACGCTTTCTTCTACACATATTCCGTATGAATCACCTTGTACTACTTTATGTTTCTGATTACAGTTTGTTTCTGACAAAAATGTGTATCATTTCAATAATAAATTAAAACGTACTTAACACAATTGAAACACAATCTTACTAATAATATGCATGCAAATGTTTGGATTGATGGATGGATGTTTATTTGAAGGTACCTACAGAACGACTGCATGGATCTCGCTGAAATCTGGCATAGATGTAGAACAAAGCCTGGAATACCATATACGCTACTAATTACGTTTTTTTTTAATTCCAGCCGGACGAAGTGGCGGGCGACAGCTAGTAACATTATAAATGCAAATGTATAGATGGATTGGATGTATGGTTGTTTGAAGGTATCTCCAAAACGGGATCTAGATGAAATTTGGCATACATATAGAACATAGTCTGGAAGAACACATAGGCTACTAGTAAAGTTTTTTTAAATTCCGACGGACGGAGTCGCGGGCGACAGCTATTATTCATTATAAGGTAGAAAAGTGAAAATTACACGTAGGAAAAGAAGGAAAATATTTTCAGTGACGTGACGTTCCGCTCAAACTTTGGTGTGCTGTGCTATATGTACATGAAAGCATGAAAGCGACAGCGCGATGCAGAAGTAAAGACCGCACGAGTACCAGGTCCACATAACTGGACAATGGTTAAATGCTTTCGTTGCTCACCCTCGCTCTCTCGCTCTCTCTTGCGTGTTTGAAAATTTTACGACAGTGAGGCAATGTAGCGATTTGCTGCGCATGTCTGTGCTACACATCTTAGTCTCATCGTAGGTGTGTATAGTTTGATTCTACGCGGGTTACGTGAGTTCATTTCACTAAACTTGGTATGCGTTGCAGTACTAAAGTTGAAATAACGTTAATAATCGAAATATTAGCAAATGCAACTGCAAGTAAAAGCAAACAGATTATTTAATAAAGTAACCTTATAAAAGACTAGCTATCCCCCGCGACTCCGTCCGCGCGGTATGAAAAAAAACCTTATTAATACCCTATGTGTTCTTCCAGGTTTTATTTATCCCAAATTTCGGCGAAAGCCATGCAGGAAATTCCTTAAAAAAACATCTACAACAACAACCCATCCATTCACCCAAACACTCGCATTTATAATATAAGTAAGATTATTAACCATGGTCGTAAGCTAACGGTTAACCAATGTTATAAAGTTAGGTAAGCACTGTAAGTGTAAGCAGTGTGAAAGGTTGTAAACAAACATACAGTTCGTAATTTATGATGTTTTGGTAGAGTTTCAATATCAACCACGTGTGTTCCACGTGTTCGGGGTACGCTTGCGCATTTTATTCGATCTCCCCCTCTGTTTTCTGTTAACCTAGTACTGTTGCGGATGAAAACATTCCTGACATCATTCGCATGCGGATAACCAGTTGGTTATTTTACAGAACAACAGTACAGGTAATGAAAACAAAAGTCACACTGACTACTACACTAAATAAATACTAGAAAAAGCAACATACAAAATCTATTAGTAAATTTTGTTTGTATTACATATTTATGTTGTTGGCACGATTGAATAAATAAAATGAAGCAATTTTTTAGAAAGTTTCGTAAAGATTGTTTTATTTGTAATATATATTATAATTTAAAAATAAATAAAAATAAATTTCTTTCAATGCACAAATTATTAATACGGGATGGAGTTTTAAATATATCTATTTTGTTTTATAATGATTTTAACTTTTTACCGAATTACATTGAAAAACACGCGTGGAATTAACAAAATAACTGTCTTAATTCTATTGCTAAAATTAAAATAAAATAATAATTGTTCCTATATTTTTTGATACACGAATTAATTAAATAAACGTTGTTCCGAAAGTGATGTGATAAGGCTTTTTCGCATGCGGAAGCTTGAAGCAAATTTTATCCGCAACTGTACTAGGCCAACAGAAAATGTTAGTAGCTTTTAACTTCACGAGTTACACCTTCAGCACTGAAGTTCGATTTTGGTGCCTGAAGTACGATACTAGGCTCCCATAGATGTCGAGAAGTTATTTTGTATAATGAATATGTCTCATCGTAAGTTTCCACTTCCATAATGCCTATACAAAAACACATTCTATCGTATTCTCTTTGTATAATAGGTTAGTATAAATTATGTATTACATATTTCGTTTTTTTGGAAACCACAGTACATCATATTTAGCAAACCCCACGTATTTGTTTGGCTTGTAACTTAAACACAGGCTATATTTTATTACGCGGTGATAATTTAAAATAAAAAAAATGATTAAATAAATATCTTCAACTGATTGTAAAAAAGAATCGAGTATAATTTATTTATTGAGAATCGCTTTACTTATATTTTAAAAATATTTATTCACAAAGATTAAGTAGTAATATAGCTATTTCGTTTCGAAAGCGATGCCGTCAACTTTTCCGCATGCGGAAGCACCAAGAACATATTACCGCCAGCTGTACTAGATCGACACAAAATGTTTTGCTGAAGCAATTTCACATTTCACGTACTTCTTAAATACCTCTTATTACCTTCGCAATGAAGGTCACAATTACGGTATTCAAAATTGAAGTGTGCATGCGTGCAAAAGTACTAGAGCCTCATAGACGTAGAGAAAGTTATTTGTTTTGTATTCAAGGCTGCCTTCCAAGGCGTACTTCAACACCCACACATGCGATTTTGGGATGACCACGTGGTAATTCCTGAAAGATTATTAGGATTTCATGCATGCCCAGAAAGCTTTTTGTACATTGAATATGGCTGATGTCGACAACTTATTTTGTTGTTTGTATAATGAATATGGCTCAGCGTAAGTTTCCACTTCCAAAATGCCTGTACAAAAAACACATTCTATCGTATTCTCTTTGCATAATAGTTTAGCATAAATTAAGTATATTTCGTTTTTTGGGAACCACTGTAAATCATATTTCGCAAATTCCACATATTTGTTTGGCTTCTCACGAAAATAGTGCACTAACACAAGCTACTTTTTGATTATTACGCTGGTAATTTAAAAGAATTGATTGAATAAATATCTTCAACTGATTGTTAAAAAGGATCTAGTACAATTTATTTTTTGAGAATAGCTTTAATTATATCGCTATTTCGTTTCGAAAGCGATGCCGTCAACTTTTCGGTATGCGGAAGCACAAAGGATATTTTACCCCAACATGTACTAGGTCAATAGAAAATGATGTTATTACGTCTTGCTGAAGCAATTTCACATTTCACGTACCTAACCTTACCTTCGCAGTGAAGGAGGTCACAATTACGATATTTAAAGTTGAAGTGCGCATGCGGGTTTCATGAGGAACACGACGTAAATCCTGAAAAAGTACTAGGACCTCATGGATGGTAGAAGGTTATTTGTTTTACGTTTCAGGCTGCCATTGGGTGTTGAAGTACGCATGCGTTTTTCAGGATGACCACGTGGTAATTCCTGAAAGATTACTAGGGCGTCATAGATGTCGAGAAGGTTATTTATACATTGAATAATTCTAACCACGAGTTTGCACTTCTTAAAAACTTGTGCAGAAACACATTATTATCTGTCGTAAAATCTATTTTTTACAAGAAATGCAAAAAAAACCCTAATCTAAAACTATTTCAAGTAACAATCAAAACTCGAGGAACATCGCTATTGACCGACACGGCAGTTTAAATATGTATGCAAACAAATTCAAAAGGGTAATATGAATTTCGAATTTTTATGGAAACAAATGCATTTTAATTTGGGAAAAATGACATCAAATAGTATTAACATTTGCAGCTAGTGAATTTGACGGAAATTGAAATTTAAGACAAAAATTGTCGTTCACTAGAAACGACTTATTTGTTGTTAAAAATTAATAAATGTTACTCAGACGTACTTCCGGAATCGACATTATCCAAAAATATTAGTAGGCGTAATTGAATTTTATATAGGCCTTATTACCTTCATAGTAAAGGTTATAATTACGGTATTAGAAGTTGACATTGGGTGTTGAAGTACGCATGCGTTTTTCAGGACGACCACGTGGTGAATCCTGAAAGATTACCAGGACTTCATGCATGCCCAGAAAGCTTCTTGTATATTGAATATGGCGAACCACGAGTTTTCACTTCTAGAAAACATGTACAGAATCACACTGTCATCTCTCGTAAAATCTATTTTTTTAACAAGAAATGCTAAAACAATTAGAACTAACTACAGTCGCGGAACATCGCTTTCGATCGTTCGTTGATGGAAAAATTCTGTATAATATAAACTTGAAAGGACAATAAGAACTCCTGTTACAGGAACAAATGCATTTATAATTTAGAGAAAATGAAATCAAATAATGGTTTTTTGCAACAGTGAATAAATACTAGAAAAAGCAATATCAAAAATGTGTCAGTAAATTTTTAAATCGTTTATATATCATATTTATGTTGATGGCATGATTGAATAAATAAAATAAAGCGATGTTTTAGAAAGGTTCGTAAAGATTTTTTAATTTGTATTATAATTAGAAAAATAAATAAAAAATCATTTTTTTTAATGCACAAATTATTAATATGGGATGGTGTTCTATCTATTTGGTTCATAATAATTTTAACTTTTAACCGAATTAAATTGAAAAACACGCGTGGAATTTACTAAATAACTGTCTTAATTCTGATGCCAAAATTAAAAAAAAGAAAATAAAAATTGTAAACATGTTTTCTTGATAAACGAATTAATTAAGTAACTTAACGTTGTTTCGAAAGCGATGTAATAAGGCTTGTTCGCATGCGGAAGCTTGAAGAAAATTTTATCCGGAACTGTACTAGGTCAACAGAAAATGTTAGTCGATTTCAACTTCTCGAGTTACACCTTCAGCACTGAAGTTTGCTTTTGGTGCCTGAAGTACGATACCAGGCTCTCAAAGACGTCGAGATGATATTTTATAATGAATATGGCTCATCGTGAGTTTCCACTTCCAAAATGCCTGTACAAAAACACATTCTCTCGTATTCTCTTTGCATAATAGTTTAGTGTAAATAATATATATTTCGTTTTTTAGAAACCACTGTAAGTCATATTTCGCAAACCCCACGTATTTGTTAGGCTTATAATGTAAATAGTACACTAACACAGGCTACTTTTTTATTACGCGCTGATAATTTACTATAATATAATTGATCTTTTCAATCAGTGTATAATATCTGTTTGATATCTTCAAGTAATTGTAAAAAAGAAGCTTCACAGTAAAGGTCACAATTACGGTATTCAAAAATAAAGTGCGCATGCGGGTTTCATGAGCAACACGATGTTAACCCTGAAAAAGTACTAGAGCTTCATGGATGTAGAGAAGGTTGTTTGTTTTGTATTTAAACCTGCCTTTGGGTGTCGAAGTACGCATGCGATTTTCAGGAGGACCACGTGGTAATTCCTGAAAGATTACTAGGGCGTCATAGATGTCGGGAAGGTATTTTGTACATTGAATAAATCTAACCACAAGGTTGCACTTCTTGAAAATATGCGCGGAAACACTATATTATCTGTCGTAAAATCTAATTTTTCATGAAATGCAAAAAAAAACCTTTACAACTAACTAATCTAAAACTATTTCAAGTAACAATCAAAACTCGAGAATCATCGCTATTGACCGACACGGCAGTTTAAACATGTATGCAAACAAATTCAATGGGTAATATGAATTTCGAATTTTCTTTTACGGAAACAAATGCATTTGAATTT